TTTCTCCACGGCAACCAGACGGGAGCTTTGTGTGTGAATTTGCATGTTCTCCCTGTGTCCTTTGGGTCCTTCAGTTTACCCCACCAATAAAAACATGTGCTTTAGTTCTAAATGTAACCAGTGAGTGGATGGAGATAATTTGTTTAATTACTGGCCAAAACATAGTTGTGAATATATTTAACTCAGAAATATATTCAAAAGTTGTGCTGGGAAAAGTCACAAACAAGGAAATTACTTTGGCTCACGGTGCAAACAAGTTCTAAAAGTTAGTAAAAAATATATTTATAGATTTAAAAGTATAAATAATCTCCAAAGGCCCTGCAGGCTCCGCTCAGACCGCAGATCTGAACATGGGTCTCATCTGACTCAACAAACTATGCAATTTTTTAAAAAATAAAACAATTTTACAATTTTGATGAGGTGGAAATTAATGTTTTGTTTTTATGTGTGTTGGAGCCATGTATCCAGGACTAAAAGCTGATACTTTTTAAATGTCTTTGGATCATGTGAATTAATTTTTAATGTGATAGAATTGGGCTGTTGTCAAAGCAAAGTTTATGGAATTACTATCGTGACTCCATCCAGGTTGAGGAGCTAATTTACTGTATGTTTGAGACGCACGTTTGTTGTCAAAAGAAATTGGTGAATAAAGGTTGTTCTAATTTGTTTACCAAGTCAACGGTGTTTAAAAAGTGTTCCTCAATCTTTCTGAGCCGGAGCACATTTTTCATGATACACACCCTTCATTAACCGCAAACTCAAACTCTGCAAACTCAGTCTCACAGTGTTTTACACAGAAAATAAAACAAGCACAAAAAAGTCGTCCTAATATTTTTGATTTTTAAATTATTTGGATGAAGCAGGTGATGTTGGACCATGTCCAAAGGCTCTGGTTGAAAAACACTGCGTAAAAAAACCCTCAATATTAAATCTCGTGGTGACCAGTTAAAACCTTTATCTAATCATCTTTTTTTTAATCTATTTGCCGTCAGCTGTCCGTCGAGTGTACACTACAACATGGAAACTTGTGGCTTAGAGGTGCGCTTGAACTGATAGTCTGGATAGTCCTGATCAAATCTAAGTTTATACGCTGCCTTAAAATCGTGAAATAAAATACTGACTAACATGTGTGAGTGAGACCTTGGTCTATCATTTCCTGTTTGTAAAATTCTTCATTGTGAGATCAATAAAGTCTTATCTTATCTTATGAATATAAATATAAATACTTATGTACTATTAATCCAATTCAAATCAGAAAACTATTTTTCCAGTTGCAAAGAATCTTAATTATGACACAGGCCTGACTGTATTATATAACATGGTGCTTCAGGGGCCTCAGGGGCCTCCCGAAGGTTCTGCCCATGCAATCTGCAATAAGCTGCAAAACTATTCACAACTTTGTTTTTACACTATTACTGTCTTTTACATATTTAATATTGTTTGTCAATGTGTTGTATGTTAGGACAACTAAAACACATTATGTGGGTCGGTGTCAAGACGTGCGTGCGTGTGTGCGAGTGTGTGTTTGTGTGTGCGTGCGTGTGTGTGTGTGTTTGTGTGTGCGTGCGTGTGTTTGTGTGTGTGTGTGTGTGTGTGTGTGTGTGTGTGTGTGTGTGCGAGCGTTTTCAGTTGAAATTCGGAAAAATACGATATTGTTCAAATAGTTTCTGTATCTTAGTTATTCAATTCACAAAATAAGACCACCACAGACTCATCACAAACAAAGTGACCAGACCTTTGTCTGTAATAATGTTGACGATTGAGGTTTAAAGTTCTTTTCCAAAATATTCTCACAATGTTTAATTTTGTGTTTTTTTTTTGTTTTGTTTTTTACAAGCTGTGAGCCAATTAAATAAAGTTTTTGATATTTCTCATTTGCCAGTAACGAGTGTGTCAGTGTTAGTTCCCAAGTTGAAATACAGAAGAAAATGGAATAATATTCTTATTTTGAAACTTTCACCTGATGTTTTGTGTCGTGAGAGAGAGAGACGGCTGGAGTCAAACATGTGTCTGCTGCTGTTTATTTTTGTATTTCGGACACGTTTTAAAATATATAACGACTATATATCATACTATTCTGTAAAACCATGACATATTCTTCCATATAAAGTTCAATATCTTTGGATTGGTAACTGGGGCCACAGTCTGGACTTTGGGAACGACTAAAACACAAGATAAATGAATCCAAACATCGATACAGTTCGTTTACATTTAGACAAAACAGACCGATAGACGAAACTTTTGGTTATAACATTATTACTGACTTTTAACTCCACATTATACACAATTATACAGCTTCGAATGAAAATGTTTCTCTTTTACAGTTATTACGTATGCATTATGACCTACTATCTCTCTTCTTTACTACCTTTCATTACCTGGATGTGTTGTCAAAATGAAATAAATGTATTTAAAAAAAAAAGTCTCGCTTCTTGATTTCTTTAAATTACCTCATACCCTTCACGTCTTTTGTCGTTTGTTTAGAGGCTCGTCTGTGTCTCTGTTGCTAAGCGGTAAGGGCCTGGTCTCTACTGTGATGGGAGACTGCTGCTGTTGAAGTAGTGTGTGTTGTATTTTTACGATGACGACAAAATGAAACGCTTCCAAGATTTTTTTCGTCCAATGTTTCGATAGGATGCCACAAAAACATAAAAATAAATGTAAGAATTATTAAATATTAGCAGATGTTAGCACAAGCATAAGACAAGCATATAACCATCATGAAATAAGATTTTAACACACACCGACAATGTAGTGACTAAAAATACACAACTTTGGACTCAGAGTAAATGTTAAATTTCTGGGTTTTGGATTAATTAGTTTTGGCATATTTTTGAGTGAAAAAAATCTTTCTTTCTCGCTCCCATCTTTGAATGTGAACATATTATTTAATATTTATTTACTATTTACTGAATATGATACCTGTTGTGGACATTTACGTTTTGTGGATTTTCAAACGCATAAATAAATAATCATTAATAACACAAATAATAAATAAATTACTCAAACAAGAGACTCAAGGAGGGATCTTCAAATCTCTCTCTCACACACACACACACACACACACAAACACACACACACACACGCACATACAAAAATCTGGATCTGGAGCATGAAGTATTTTCAAAGTATAGAGTCTTGTAATTATTGAAAAAGAATAAAAACATACACAGAAAAATACGAAATGATAAATATTGGGTGTGTGTGGAATATAACACAATAAATGAAAAATGTGCTCTGAACGTAACCAGTGAGTGGATGGAGATAACTTTGTTTAATCACTGGCCAAAACATCTATTTGTGAATATATTTAACTCAGAAATGTATTCAAAAGTTGTGCTGAAAAAAAAAAAAACAGTTCTGTCATATCTTTGTGACAGTGCAGTGTTTCTCAAACTGCGGTCCATACACTGACACTGCACCACCACCAAGATTCCATTGAACTTACTCTTTTTGAATATGACTTTTACATACATTTCTTGGTTTTTGCTCTAATATTTTCTTGTGATAAACAGAATAATCCCAGGGTACATTATTTCTCAAATACTTAAATCTTCTGAATCTTTTAACATACGGAAACCTTTGCATAAACTTGTGAGTCGGAATGAAATTAACCAAATATCTTTCTTTATGGAAGTGGATGGGATATTGATTACAAAGCCTAAATGTTTTTACATTTCTTCAACAATTTCTACCAGAATAAAGTGAATGAAATATGAATTGTTCCTAGTAAATTGTGAGCTCTCAAGAACAATTATTGAGAAACAAATTATGAAATTAAATTACAAAACTGTCTGGACCTGTGTAAGCCGCACCCACTACATTTGAAAGAAACCCCAGTAACCTCTTCTTCACACATCGAGGGGGAATTAGTCTGTGATGCAATTCCACAATTTTGTGGGCCTCAATACAATTTTTAGTGGCACATTTGATTTATTCTAAAATCTCAACCAAACACATCATAAGCTAAATAGTTAAATGCAAAACAATGTGTTTGACTTTAGATTTGGTCCAGGTTTGGTTAAATCTTTACAATAGACATATTTCATTTTCAGAAAAATCAACCAGAAAAATAAATAAATAGTGAAATCATGTCATAATACTTTCAAAATGTAAACAAAAAAGGAAATTAATTCTATTTTGGCCCCTGACCAGTTCCTATTTTTTTATCCGGCCCATGACCGCAATGAGTTTGACACCTTTGGCTTTAGCCATAATCTAGACCCAGGTCAGAGTTGGAGTTCCTTGGATTGGCATACATTTGACTATATTTGAATACAACAGATGCAGTTCTATCTTCTGACACGTGGGGGAGCTCTACTCTGCTATGACCCGCTGTTCCAAGCTGGACAGTCACATTTTCAAGTAACAGACATTGTGAGATCAACAAAGTAAAGATAATAGTCATTATTGGAGGAGAGAAGAAAGAGGAGGCATACATCCATGAGGGACAGAAGAGTAGAGAGGATGGGGGAGGACAGAAGAGGTGCGAAAGGAGGAGAGAGAGACGTGAAGGGAGAATAGGGGAGAGAAGAGAGGATAGAAGAGAGACGAGAGAGAAGAGGTGAGATGAGAGGGGAGAGATGAAAATGAGAGAAATATTGAGTAATTCTCGCAACATCCAGAGAGGCAGCAGCGAGCAAATAGGCTGCCACACTACAGAAGAAAAAACGTAAAAAATATCTGCATCCAAATCTTTACTATACCACCTTTTTTGTTTTGTTGTCGTTAAAATACTCTTTTTATTTGAAAAAAGGAAAAGGTGCAAGCAGTTTTACACTTACCAAATTATTTAAAGCCATTGGAGATAAATAAATATAAACGAAAGAAAAATAAAAGACAAGAAAGGATGAAGAACGAGGCGTGATTTACGAACTCGCATGCAGCCACCGAAGAGCCAACCCATAAGCAGGAACTCGGAAGTAGAGGGATCCTCCCGGTAATCTCCGCTCTCCTCTCCCGTTTCCGTGTCTCCGCTTGTGTCTCCAGCCGCAGGGAGCATGCTGTCGTGGCTGGACGTCGTACTGAGGCCCCTGGAGGCTCCTCTGTGGTGGCTGGGCGCTGGAACCGCGGTCTGGCTCGCCCTCACCGCCCTGCACCGGCTCCTCTCCGGGATCCGCGTGTGGGTCCTGGGCAACGGGCGTCTCGTGTCCCCCGCCAGGCTGGGCCAATGGGCAGGTATATAATAACAATAATAATAATACAAAATAATGTTCTATATTGTGATAATAATAATGTAAGGAGCTGTCCCATACATACGCTTAAACTGCATTCATGAATGAAGATACTGCAGGTGTCTCACAATTAAAGTTGGGCTACCTAAATCCACAAAAAATAACATAATTGTTGTTCGTCCCACACACAAAAGAAGTAAGGGCATTTATATGCATATCTGGCAGGATGTTAAGTAGATTTGTGACATTGTCCAATACATGTGCAAAATTCCCCAGTGTGCACTAGACACAAGAAGTAACTACATATTCAAAACTAGGTAAGAAGTGCAGGAATTAAACGAGCTAAACAAGTGCAGGAAAAATATGTCTCTGGTCTCTCTCGCTCTCTCTCTCTCTCTCTCTCTCTGGTCTATCGCTCGCTCTGGTCTTTCTCTCACTCTCTGGAGTCTCTCTCTGGTCTTCCTGTAGCCCTCAGTCCTGCTCCGGCCCCTCAGTGCTGTGTCCTCTGCAGCGCTCAGGCCTACAACCAACAGGTTTGATAAAGGAGTTTGAGCAAACTAGCCAATATGGCTGTTCAAAGTGGTTTCATCTGCTGTTGGCAAACACTATGGAACATATCTGGGTCAGTCCACTCCTGCTATAGTCCGAGAACAAGGAAGTACTGGTACTTGTGGTCTGATGAGTGACTGTCCATCTGTCTGTGTGCGCTCTCTCCAGGGGACTCTGGACTGTGGGTCAGAGTGTGAGGGCCCCAGGCCCTTATCACCCTTGTTCTGTGACGCTGGGTAAGGTGATTACAATTTATGCTGCTTTTCCATAGTCTGGGTACGGAACAGTATGGCACGGCGCGGCCGAGTGTGGGTGCTTTTCCATTCAAAATGGTAACTCAAAGTTTCTCCTCAGCGTGGGAGGGGTTGTCAGACCACGTAATTTACGCGCAATGCGTAACTAGTAACATTGTTCTGATGCGTGACTTTTTGTCATTTAAAATAAAATGTTTTTATTTCGAGTTCAATAAATAACTTAGATTTACAATATACACATTTTAAATAACTAAGTTTCAACTCGAAAAAGGAGTGAGAAGTAAAAAAGGAATATGATAAAAATCATCTGCCTAAACATTTATTTTGCCCTTGTGTTTTATTCAAAAATAAAACCTTTTTGTATTTAGCAAATATGCCCCCATCCTTGTTCATACATTTATCACGTCAATTTAAAGTAACCCACGACAATTAAGCATTAGTACTTACCGGCGCAGTTGGCTGAAAGGGTTGATGCTTCACAGGGCACATCTAAACATTGATGCTGACGAGTTTAAGCTAGCAACTTTTCTTGTGGAGTTCTCTTTCACGAGTCTCTGTGTCTGAGATCCTCAAGAGACGTCATATTACAGCAGTATCTGCTCGGAGCTGCACTATGGATGTATTATGTTATTATCGGGTACTTCCGTATCGGCGAGCACGTTAGCACTTATTTAGTCGCAGTAGAATATCAACTCCGGGTGAAGACATATGTTCACAATCACTGTGTCCCCCATTGTCAGTACTGGTTTATTCCTGGTTTAGCTCCTGTTCTGGCTGTTTTCTAGTATCTTTGTCTTCTTGCTCTGACCGGCTTGTGTCCCTGTGACCACATTTCTGCCCCCTGATGGGTCACTGCACGTGCGTGGGCCGAGGAAGTTGAATCTCATCCGTGGTGTTTGCCACAAGAGACGCAGTCTGTAAAGTTGCCGTACCAACTGCCGTTAAAAACGCGTCTGATGCACCGTTGTAGACAATGAACGTATGACAGACAGACCAACAGCAGAGTGGCATTGGTATCGATAGAGAGGCACGTGGGTCATCAGTGTTTGCTTTGGAAAGGCAATGAGGCAGTAATTGGGCTGAAATCAGGGCCACAGGGCGGATGATAAAGGTGTCAGGGAAACACTGGATTCAAAGGTACTACAGCCCTAAGGCTGGGAGATTTGGCTAAAACTTTTATGTATGGTCCTTGTTATTCATAAGTACATATCAACTATGAGTGACATAATGTGAAAAAGGAAATCAGAATAAATTATTTTTTAAACAAATGATTTGTATTTAATAGTGTGTCCATTACGTATTCTCAATTCATGCTGCAGCACCCAGCCACGTTTCATCAAAGTGTGCTATTACTGAAAGGTTTTTTTCCCCATAATCTCACACTGTCATCCTGTCTGTAGTACGGATCTGTCGTCCATTGCTGTAAACCAGCCCTGAACCATAAGGTTTCCACCACCATATATACATAAAATATGAATCCATCTTTGTGTCCCACAAAAGTTTCAGATCAAAACAGGTTTGAGAATGTCATTGAAGTTTCTATTGTTGTAGCATCGCGCTTTGTTTCCAAATGAACTCTCTTTGATCACTCTGTGCTAAAAATACAAACCGCGAGTTATTTTTAGTGGACGCACATGATGCAAAATGATGTCAGATGCACAGCATCATTCACTAAGTTAGTCCAAGTGAAGTCTGGAGGCTGCAGCTTATGTAATGCACCAGGCCATTCAGATCCACGGTCACTCAGAACTGTGCGCGAGACGTGTGCGCGAGACGTGTGCGCGAGACGTGTGCGCGAGACGTGTGCGCGAGACGTGTGCGCGAGACGTGTGCGCGACGACGAAAGGAGGACAGCGATAAAACGGCCAAAACAAACTGTGTCTGAGACAGATGCAGGACTTTGTGTAACATGCTCTTAGTGGTGTTATAACGTCATCACAATTACTATGGAACTTTGTTTTCAGAATCTTTGCTTGTGAAACATGCAGCTCCTCAGCACTGATTACTGATGGAATCCACCTGCTGGAGTTTAGCTAGAAACACTACACACTCTTTATATTCCATAATATTAATGACATGTATTTTTCACGCCTTTCAAGACACCCAAAGACGCTTTACAATATTTTAAAAACCTCACACACAGTATTAAAAGTACAGAATGCAAGGATAAGCCAGTTTAAAAAGGTAGGTTTTGAGGGCGACAGTAGCTCAGTTGGTAGAGCATTGGCCTTAAGGCCAGAAGGTTGTGGGTTCAATTTCCACCTCTGCACCTTCTCCACCGACTCCCACTGATGACTGCTGTCGTCGTGTCCTTGGGCAAGACACTTAACCCCACTTTTCCCAAAGCCCCCACTGAAAGATCAAGGCTATGCTCACACTCAGAGAGCAGCCGTCCTCCTGTGGACTCACCACCTGCAGAGGGTCAGTGAGGGGCTGGTGCTATGAGACTTGGGTGGCATCTCTGACTGCCACCCCCCTGACCCAGAAATGGATTAAAGGGTAGAAAATGGATGGATGGATGGATGGAGGTTTTGAGGTTTGATTTGAAAGTCTCAATCTTCTTTGATTGGATAATCTGCTTCAAAAAACTATAACAGTATAATAAAGTATTGCTAACATGCATACAAATAGTTTTTTTTATGCAGTTTTTATACACGTATAGTTTTTATGCATGTTAGCAATACTTTATTTATTTTTGTTGAAAACTATGATGGACTAGAGGTGACTTGTGCCTAATGTGAAATGCCTGAAAAGAATGAATAAACAAAATATTGTAGACATCATGTCCATTGTATTTTTTATTAAGAATAACTCCAAATTAATCTTGAATAACTTTTGTCCTTATTGTTTGCACTATGACTACTGTATTTTCCTACCTTGTACTTTTGTGTGCCATTGCCAGAAATACATGAAAAATGAATGAATGAAATTAAGGAAAAGGCTTCTGAAATATATACAGTAGATGTAATTTAGATATAGATTATAGATTAAAATAAGGAGGATTAATGAGCCGCTGAAACCAACAGGTTGTGTTCATGTGACATCACATGGAGCCTATGGTTAAATATTGTGGTGAAGGGCAACTGAAAAACCTTTCCTGGGAGCTATGGAAACCAGTCTATGGGTAATTCCTCCAAATACCATCTTTGTCAGTACATATCAACTGTTTAAATTAGGGCAGTCAAATTATTGCGTTAACGCACATTATTTAAATGTTTCATTAATCCCGTAAAAAAAAGAAAACGCGTTTAACGCATGTCCGGACGACCCGCCCATGTATCCTATAATATCACTCAGAATGCAGCGGACGCATGTGTGTGTGAGATGGCGACAGAGCAGGTAGGCCCTCTGGGAATTCAAGTTAAAAAAATAATAAATAATAATACGCTCGTGACCGTGGGGCACGTGCTGTTTGCTGTGAACTGAAGTCCGCATCATCCTAGGCGTTCTGACCCGGGGCAGCTGCGGCCGCTGTGGATAGCGGTTCCCACCTCCTAGGTTAGTAACAATGTTTATATCAACGCTGTTATTCCCACCACTGGTTAGTTGTGCCCAAAATGTCAAAGGTTGTGAGCAAATCAAACAGATTTAAGTACATTTGGTATGAATGACAATGTGTCATTGCATTTGATAATCTCATTTAACTTCAATTGGAGTGGATTTTAAAATGGAATGTAAAAAATGCAATTAATTGTGAGTTAACTCACCATTACTATGTGATTGACAGCCCTAGTTTAAATATATTCTCATAAAGGTTAGTGGTGACAATATACAAAAATGCATGATGTTGGCCAGTAGAAAGGACTTTCAGACACAAGAATACATTTGTGAATTTCAAATGATGATATGGGAAAACAAATTATGTGGAAATAAAATTTCTTTCAAAAATGACATTTCCCAGTCTATTTGCATTTACAACATGAACACAGCCCACAACAAAATTGAACCCAAAACCTTATACGCATGGGGCCAGTCTTACTAAAATTTTGATAAAGAAAACATTTATTCATTTCAAAGAGGGCACATTTCAATGTGCACTGCAAAAATGATAAAATATAAACTGATAAATGCTTGAATAGAGTACATTCTGACAAGATTTGCCAATGGGACAAAGCCACTTTTGCTGTTGCTTTTTCTCATTCTAAAGAAGACATATCTAATCTTTTTTAGATGATACAATTGTTTTATCAATTTATGTATT